AACTCTTTTCGGTACCATGGAAAAAAGTAGTCAATTGTTTCTAGATATAGGATAGTGAGGGTCTGATATCTTTCTACTTCCAAAATTTTTTTTGATTACATTCACCTTGTGTCCCGCTACACTAATAACTATGAGGAGGACATGTTTTCACGTAAAAATCACCTTGCTCGTTTCATCCCCTTTGCCTTCACTGATGAGCCGCCAGCCCCTCAAAAATGTTAAATGACATTGTAGGGGGTGAGCAGTTTTCAAAGAAATATACCCGGTATACCCTATATGAGCATAAATTAGTGGTATGTATCAACTCAACTGCATCAAAAATATAATTCGAAAGTACGAATCTGAATAATAGAAAGGCAGGAAAAACAGTTCAAGATAGGGATTTTTTTACAGAAAAATACTGCTATTCGAATAACTTGCACTCACCTATACATGATTAAATTTATTGATTGACGACAAATACAAATGGAATATCAAAATGCATTGTTACAGGGGAAGAAAAATAACTATTACATGAGTGGAATTTTTTGGTTTGTATAAGCAGAATTTATATTGTGTAATAAACAACGCCATATACAGGGTGTCTCAGGTTTTACTCGTCTAACTGCTTTGACAATCGATAGCAAAACTCAAAATATGTACGTACGTATTTTTCTGTTTTGTCATGGAGAAACATGTTTTAATTATACATACATTTTTGGTTTTTAATTTCTGTCTCAGTTGAAACAAAACCTAGCGATCTGAAATTCGGTGAGCACTTTTCTATCGGCAATATGAACAGTCCTTATCCATTGAAAAAACTGGGTGTTATCGTCACCCCCAATGGGAGTAACGATGTTATTCTTTTTCGAGCCCTCTGACATGCATGGAACTCGTCAGATTTTTTTTTATTGGGACGCTAGTGGGTGGATCGAAGCTAATGAAAAATCATTATTATTTCTTCACCACACAGACCACACTTTGTGTTTTTCATTTGTTTCAATATCTTTCGTGTACGTGAACCATTCAATATTCAATTCGAATGATAATTTGATGTAAGATAAACATTTAGGTTATAAAATTGTTATATATGCATAGTAGGTGTAACATTATTTCGAATAACAAGAAAACTAAGAAGGATAGGGACAGTTCATATATAACAGATAGAAAAGTGCTTACCGAATGTCAAATCTCTAGGTTTGGTTTCAACAAAAATAAAAAATAAAAACCAAAAATTCATGCGACCTCGTATAAAGAAAACAAGTGTCTCCACGACAAAACAAAAAAATACGTGTATAATATTTCAATTTTTGCTTCCGATTGTCAAAGTTAGACGAGCTAAACCTGAGACACCCTGTATATATTACACGAACAACTTCAATTTGTAATCTCCATATTCCTTTAGAATCTACTATCCACTATTTCGATTACATTTTATTTTGCCAACATTCATCATTGCGAGCTATATTTTGACAGAGTGTCTTCTGCGGTATTTATTACCAGTTCGATAATTACTTCTCGACATTATAACTTTTGCTCACACACATAATGCACAAATATTGAAAAACGCAAATGTCACTGTCGGAATACTGAAGTAAACTGAACAAAAACAATATTCCAATCCCCCGTGTATAACACGAATTCCAGGATTTTCGGACCTTTTATGTCCGCCGCTTTTATGCTCACCGCCTTTATGTCCAACGCTTGCCGCTTGCCAAACATGTTCAATCTTTTATCAGCTAATTGGGTGAGTCACCTGGAGCGAAACTATTATTCTTCAATGAGAGATTTCTCTGTTTATCTAAATATTTCCAGAAGGCAAATTCTTAATGTTGACAAGAATATTAAAATATATGTAACTCGTATATTATATAATACCAGTTATTACCTAGAATAAATATGATGGAACTTCTGGCATTCCTTATAATCGCATTTTGAAATTATTGGAATTGGTGTCCTACCTGCAAACCATACGTATTTTTATTATATGGGTTACCTAATAAACGTACCTATACGTCGTATACAAAAATTCAATCAACCCATCTAAAACTTCTTTTGGTTTCATCTCCAGTGCTAAAATTTTCTGAATAGCTTCAGTGCTACTTTTTATGAATGAATTCACTATTCATTCAATCATTCATAGTATCCATGTAGAAGTGCATATTCGTGTGAGGGCGCTCGTATCAGTGAAGAAAAATGATCCAAAATTGCGTCTGCAGAGGTCCAGCAAAAATCACTTTTGATGGTGATATTTTGAATGGATCCTTGCGAATTTTTTTGACAACGAAGATAAATGTATAAGTGAGGCATCTCTCGAAGTACTTTTCGAAAAAAATATATACCTAGTGAGAAAAAAAATAGTGAATCTGGTCAATTTTCTGGAATTTTTTTCGACTATTTTTTTTCAAAAATTTGAAAAAGTACTCCGAGAGATGCCTAGATCCAACCTTCTAGAAACGATCCGTGAAAAAAAATCTTGAATTTATTTAGCGAGCTTCGAGTATTTTGATTTCTGCCGTTCCTTGTTTCCCCAATGATCGCTCATAGGGTTAAACCCCTCTTAAGCCGTCATTGATCGAACACAGTAAAATAAGAGTAATATCGTGTTATGATGACCGCATTGACCAATCTCCAAATGGTAACGTTTTTTGTTGGAGAACGACCGACCGATCCAAGACCGCCCGGGCATTGTGATGGTCTGATGGCAACATTGAACTCAATGTAAATATATTGAAGACGCAGGGTATAACATGAAGTCATAGTCATGTTGTAGCCATCTAGTGGCAATAAAGCTATAAGGTAGGATACAGAAATCGCGACACACACTGTATGGCGCTGCCATCTATAGTCACACGTACAGACCCTTACGTCTATACGCGACAGAGTGGTACTACAAGTAAACCACTCTGCTGACAGATGGCACTACCTGACATACTTGAGTGGAATTTTTCCACCACCTATTCAACTGATAGATCTCATAACTAAGAGATCTAGGATGAACAGAGTTGCCCCAATTGTCAACAGGAGCGAGACAGTACTGTTTCGACCCCCCAGGTCTCATCAGCCGCTCTCGGTCTGCTGACAACTGGGACAACTCTACGCTTCGGGTATATCACCCATTTCGAAGACGCAGGGTATAACATGAAGTCATAGTCATGTTGTAGCCATCTAGTGGCAATAAAGCTCTAAGGTAGGATACAGAAATCGAGTATGTCAGGTAGTGCCATCTGTCAGCAGAGTGGTTTACTTGTAGTACCACTCTGTCGCGTATAGACGTAAGGGTCTGTACGTGTGACTATAGATGGCAGCGCCATACAGTGTGTGTCGCGATTTCATAGAATAGAATATCAGGATATTTGTGCTATTTTCGGTACCTATATTATGAGATTGAGCAGTGGGGCTCGTTTGTTTATACCAGCAACCGGTCGAACCAATCGTATTTGTCATTGTGACGTAACCTTAACAACCGGTCGGCAACCAACAACGAGCGAGATACACTAGTTGCGTTCTATTTATCTAATTTCGCCACCGGAATCACTTAATGTGTCGTTTTATTTGCAACTTTCCCGATTCCGCTTGCTACTTTACATTCCGTCTCCCTACAAGGAATGACTAGGATTGACTGTTGTTAGTTGTCAAAAAATTTAATTAGATTGACGAAAATCGAAACTTTTTGAAAGAAGAAAATATTTAGAAAGAAGACATTTTTATCGTGATGTTCACAAGTTTATGATTCTTTCAAGTAAGAACAGGTTTCATATATACGAAAGCGTAGAAGCGCCATATGATTTTTTAATTGACAGATAACTGTAATAAGTAGCCTGCTTGACAGATACTAAGTGGTAACTAGTATACTTGACAGATACTTAAGTGTCAACTAGCCTAATTGACAGATACTAAGTAGTAAGTAGCCTACTTGACAGATACTCAGTGGTAACTAGTACTTGACAGATACTCAACTGTCAACTAGCATAATATTGACAGATACTAAGTGTTAATAAGTAGCTTACTTGACAGATAGAAAGACAGATACTTGAGGGTCAACTAGCATAATTGACAGATACTGAGTGGTATCTAGCCTAATTGACAGATACTAAATGGTAACTAGCATGCTTGCCAGAATATAGTTGACACTTAAGTATCTGTTGAGTATACTAGTTACCACTTAGTATTTGTCGATTAGGCTACTTACCACTTAGTTTCTGTCAATTAGGCTAGTTGACACTCAAGTATCTGTCAAGCATACGAGTTATACCACTTAGTATCTGTCAATTAGGTAACTTACCACTTAGTATCTGTCAATTAGGCTAGTTGACACTTAAGTACCTGTCAAGTATGCTAGTTACCACTCAGTTTCTGTCAAGTAAGCTACTTACCACTTAGTATCTGTCAATTAGGCTAGTTGACAATTATATCTGTCGATTATAGAAAAAATATATCATATGGCGCTTCATCTACGCTTACGTACATATATGCTCATTCACAGATAAAATGGATTATCTCGATCTCAGAGAAGTTTCTATCCAATCACCACAATCACTGCTCAAAATATGCGTTTGTTCATTTTCTAAATTCTTAACTCCAGTATTATGATTATGGAATTATTCGGAGCTCCAATGGCCAATATATAAATATAACCTCCATCATCTATAATATGTCAATTCTATTAATGCAAGGACTTCATGAAGTTTTCTCGTTTTATATGTAAACGTTAAACGACATTCTGTTCCCACCACCCCGCTACCAGAATGGAACAAATAAAACGCAACTAATATTTTCTCGTTCTAGTTATTCGCGTTAGAAAATAACACGTCGCTCCACCTGACGGCAACAACTTCAACACTTCTGAGCGGTTTGTTTTGATAATATGGCCAATAAAAACGAACACAAAACAAATGAGAACCAATAAAAACAAAGCAAACAGGCTGCTTTGACAGCTTTCAAGAACTCCAATAGGTAGCGTTCGCTTATTTTCTATCGCGAATAGTATTAAATATGTCAAATGTCATATGTCCCATGTCTGTTTTTAGTTTGATGTGATTTGTGATGATGTTTGTTTGATTTTGATTTAAAATTTAAACATCTGTTGAAGTCCTATTCGTAACGATACCGTTAAAAAAATAAAAAATGTTGCCAAGAAGAAGTTTACGGAATAAAATATCCGAAGGTAATGCTACTAACGCGAGTAGTAATTCAGTACAAATTGAGGAACATACAGAATCGAAACTGTCAGCAAATAAAGGCAATTCGAAAAGAAAAATAGAGGTCGAGAACAAAAGGATTTCTAAAGATTCGAAAAAACAAAAACTAGCCGATCAGAAATCTCAGAAAGCAAAAAATGGAGCCGAAGGAAGCTTGAAGGATGATTGTTCTCAAGATGATGGGGAACTCCTGGACGAAAAATGGCGGAATGCTAAGAGTATCTATGAGTTTTCTGCAAGAGACATATATGGTAAAGAAGTCTCTATGGATACTTTCAAAGGCCATGTATGTATTTTAGTCAATGTTGCTTCCAAATGTGGACACACAAAAAGTAATTATGAACAGTTTGTTGAACTATACAATAAATATTCAGAAGACAAAGGATTGAGGATACTTGCATTCCCATGCAACCAATTTGGAAAGCAAGAACCTGGCGATAGCAATAAGATTCAAGAGTTCATGAAAAAGAGAAATGTTGAGTTCAATATCTTTGAAAAAATTGAAGTTAATGGAAAGAATGCTCACCCTATGTGGAAGTTCATGAAGAGTAAAATAGCTGGACCTAAGGGGGACAAAATCGATTGGAATTTCACCAAGTTCATTGTAGATAAAGAAGGAAATGTTGTGGAGAGACATAAGTCTAGTGTGAAACCTCTACAAATGATAGACATACTACAAAAGTATTGGTAGAGGGTCTAGTTGAAAATATGTTCATGATTTCACAAAACTCCTGACCTGATATACACTCACTTTTATTATGTATCCAAGTATTATTGTAAATGAATGTGGTGGTAATAGTGTTAGGAGAAAGTTGGCAAATGAAAGTTTGTAGGCGAAATCTTAATTGAAATTCCATAATTATTCAGAATTCATTTTTTCACACTGGTCTACCTCTGATATATCTAGTTTGTGGTAGTATTAGGTAGGTACCTACCTTGTTTCAGTGGTTTCACATGTAGGTAGATATTTTCTATTTTCTTCATTTTGTTGGATATGATTAATTAATATAGTTAGTAGGTATAGGTAATTAGGGTAGAATTGATCACTTGAATGATTAAATTAACCCAATGAAGTTTTTTATCTACATTTTGCTTGTTTTGAAGAATTGGACTAATAAATCTATTTTGGATACATATCACAATAATCAAATGAACTACTAAGTTCATTTTTTATCAAATAGTAATTTCACACTTGAAAAAGTATCACGGTTTTCTCGTCCGCACAGGAAAGTGCAACTTTTCAATCTTACTTCAATAGGTAAAAACACTTATTTGCATTTGTAAATCTTTTTGATACTGACAAAAGCCCATGTATAATGGTCATGAACTTTGGTCGAATTATTTTGATATGATACGATATTCTTCAATTCATCCAAATGGAACATTGTCAAATGTTTCCTAAAAAAATTTCATGAAAATGGTCTCACTTCAAACAAATATGATGAAATTATTGTTGGCCTTCATCAGTATCAAAAATAATTTCAAATTCTGCATCAGCCGAGGCATCAGCCTACCAAAGTGAAATCCCAATGCAAATTCAGAATTAGCTCTCCTAGAACTAATTATCCACTTGCTCTGATTTTGCCTTAAGTATAATATATTACTGGTATTTACAACTTCATATATAGTTATTTGTTTAACTAGGCAGCAAAGTAGTAGATTGACTGCCGTGGCTGAATTCATAGCCGAGCGTAGCGAGGCTAGGAATCCAGCTGAGGCAGTCAATCTAATTTGCTGCCGAGTTGAACATATAATTTTTTCTCCAATTGTTCATAATGATATGGGAGAATATTGTATTTGCGAATTAATACAATTCCCACAATCTCTTTATTCTTCCTGTATAGTGTTCAAATAAAATAAAATTTGATAGAAATCGCAGTTGTTGGTTTGACAATTCATGAAATTTCTGACAGTTGTGCGAAAAATATCAGTATATTTAAATTATTATATAATGGACAGTGATAGCGAATAAGGGAGGTGGCAAAAAATATAGAATTGAATTTGTTGCCGGAGAAGTCTCGGATGGAATATGAAGGAAATTATTAACGATTTATGGATTTTTAATTTTGCTGATACATATCAATCAGCAAAGTAACCACTTTGCTGCCTAGGCAGGAAAAGTAATATTTTGCTGATCGATATGTGTCAGCAAAATTAATATTTGCTGCCAATCGGAGGAAAAAACAATTTGCCTGCGAGTTTACCATCAGCTCTTGATACAATTTTCGTCAAAATTGCAGAGACTTTTCAAGTGACAGCTATAATGTTTTGCAAGTTTATACTGCAAGTTTTCTGAGAATTCGCATGAAATTGTGAAACAGTTTCAAAATATTCATTTAGAGTAAACTCATTGCGGAACTTATGGGTGTGAGCTGACATTCAGATTTCTGACAACTTCCATTTATGTAAGTTACCAACGTGAATTCCATAGGTGGAAGATGCCATCTCTGAGTAAACTTGTTGCCAATTGAATGTGTCATTTACACTCGCAAAAATGTATCGTGCTGCGAAAAGTTGCAGTAAATTGAAATTGTTTAGTGGGATAGATCGCGTTAACTCATCAAGATATACCCTGTATAAAAAGGGTATTCCATTTAAAAAATGTCGCGGACGTCTTAACTCAAACGTCGTGGATCACCCTGTGCATTAAATTTTCCGTAAAGGAGATCCCTAAGAAATGGATAGTTTGAATAACAATTAATTTATTCAGTACTTTACGAAATCACTATATGACTGATTTACTTGAAATTTGGCTGGTATTGATAATAGGTTTTTATGGATCGTGGCGTGTGAGTAAGAGCTCGGGCGATAGCGAGGGCTATAATACGCAATGGTCAATAAAAGCAATAAGTTACGCCCGAAATATATACAACATTTCATGCACGACCGGTATATACCTATTTGATTTCTCATTGTGAATACCTCTTTCACCTCTCAACGATTGAAATACATCAAGGCGCTGCTGTGAGGAATATCATATTGATGGAAACAACGTTACCATGGAAACTCAGTCAATTTTTTGAAATAGGAGCAGACTATTATGTTCGCTGTCAATTAATGTCATCATAGATGACGTATTTTGGGTTGGAACTGAGGTTCGATCATAAATCATTTTGCATCTCAGAATAAGTATATCAAGAGATCTGATATGTAACATTAGATATAGATAAGGAACCATCACAACAAAAACATATTGTCCTGAATTATACATCAGGTATGCATATTACTAGTTATTTATACGCCGAGCGGTGAATTAGTCTGCGGGCGAAAAAATGCCAATTTACGGTAAAGTGCTACTTTACGCCCGGTCGTGCTTAATAGTTATTTATGTATCAAGGGCGTAAAGTTGGCGTTTATGGCCATAAACGCAATTCACGCACGTGATATACATACAACATTTTGTGCACTAGTGGTTTATTTTCTGACTTAAAAGTAATGACTATTGATTTTGATAAACTAATATTCCCCCCAATTTAATTTGTTACGTATAAATTCAGTAATCAAGAAAAGCGTATAATGTTCATGGATGATTTACATGTGAAAATTATCGTACGAATAATAGTGAATTTATCATAATAGTAATAGTATATATATTCTTCAACGAGCGTATAATGCTATTATTCGGAATTATCCGAGAGAATAATAGCTATTATACGCGAGTAGAAGACTATACTTTCTCTACGATTATACGATAGTCAGAAATTTTATGTAATCTAATTATTATTTATGGAAATAATATACTTGATGTATGAATTTTAATGATATGATAATACAATTGACAGGAATCTTCAATATTCAACGAACTCAATGATGAAACAACACAATAATTATTAGGTCAGTAAATTATGTTTCTCGTACTTAGTGACTAAATTTTCTGTGATATTCTCACAATTCGTGAAATTTTACTGTTGGTGTTGAATTTAAATCAACACTGACATGTTTATTCATATTGCTAGTTGATGTTTTTTGTGTGAAGGAACTGTTATTTGATGATGATGAACATTGTTCGATTCATTGAAGAATTCGAATCTGCCGTTTTTTTTTTATTCAACATGGAATCTTCTAGAAATCCTTCTGCCACCGATGTGCTCTTCCAGCCACCATGTCTTTTCAATGCTGTTATACCTCCACCTGCATTGACAAGCAAAGCAATGTCCGGTGTACATCTCGGGATTTGGTAGCTTCAAAAATGTAACTATTTGTTTTCCGATTGCTGCAAACTTATTAATTCCAATTTTCTAAAGAGTACATTTTCGTTTTTGGTGATTCATAAAAAAATTGGAAATCCCAACATTTGCTGCTCGTATATCAATGTACTTTTTACAAAATTGATAAAATTTTCCGGTTACAGTGAACCTCCTTACAATTTTTGTTTAGGTCTCAGGAATAGTTATCATCCATGGAGATCCAAGATCTTGAATATCTTCAATATTCCTAGAGTACATTTCTATGGAACGGCAAGCCTCCATTGTATCCTCCAGATATCAAAGTTAAAACTTAAAAGACTCTATAAGTCAATCTGACATTCGCGATAGTCAAGCCGTGACGTGACCCGTAAAATGAAGCAGAGCCTTCTTGAGAAATTCGTTTTGTAGATTTGCTGGTTTTTCATTAGTCTAATCTTTTCAGTTGCTGTGGATCCTGAAAATTCTGAATCTGTGATTGGTCGAGTGCCGTTGAATAATAAGTTGGGATCCACGGTATCTTGGAATCATCTTCATTCATCAATTACTAACCTAAATGTAATCAATGTAGAATACGATAGTCGTAGAGAAAACTCTTTAATTGATCTCTAGAAGAGATTAATTCTTCAGAATTTTACAATAATATGCATACCCATCAGTATATATACCTACCTAATTGGTTGTTCATGAATTGATATGTGGATATAGGGAAACTGAGAACAGCGGGCGAAAAGTGCACTTTACGGCCCGTGGGCCGTAATGAGCCCGCGGGCGGTAAAGTGCAACTTAACGCCCGCAAAACCGGGTGGTAAATTGCACTTTACGGCCTGCTAGTGCATAAAATATATTCTGTCTGTTGATCAACACACCTGACACAATAACGTATCGTGAGCGACTGGAAGATAGAGTTGAACACTTCTGTACACTTATGAAACCATTTTGCAGGATTATTGCGGTATCGTTGGTAGATCTTCTATAAATAACGTGAAGAGAAGTACCAATAATGAAGTAAGTTATAATAAATGGAAAGTAAAATGAGGAAGAGGAGAGAGTGTGAAGTAAACCAACCCGCGATTGGAATTGATACATATAGCTATCATGTTTTGTCTTGTAAAATTCCATCAATTCATTTATGGAAAAGAAATAATTGTTAATTCTGATCACAAGCCTCTTGTGGCAATACATGAAAAAGAAATCAATCAAGTTAGTTCAAGATTACAAAGACTCAAGTTGTCTGAAGTCTAGATCTTTCAATAAAGATAAAGTGCTCGATGATCCAGAGTTGAAAGAAGTAGTTCATTGTATTGAGAGGGAATTTCCGATTAAAGATGAGAGACTAAAAGATATACAGGAAAAAACAAAAGAATGATATATCAGGTGTTGAAACATATTTTAGGATACTGTGATAGAGGTTGGCCAGACATTTTGAAGAGTGAGGATAGAGAGACTACGATTTATATTTCAGGAACAGAACTAATATCGTATATAAAAATGGTATTTTATTTTCAGTTGATAAAATCATGATTCCGAAACTTTTGAGAGAAAACTAAGAAAAGAGCTAGACATATTTTTCATTGGCCTGGAATGTCCGTTGATATAGAAAATTACATATTACGTTGTAAAATTTGTGAAAAATTCAGAAGGTTTAATGTGAAAGAACCATTAATACCTCTCATGTTATTCCCGATTTACCTTTTGAAAAAGTTTCGTGTGATATATTAGAATTGGATTCGAAATCTTATTTAGTGTGGACAGATTTTTTCTCAAACTGGATTGAGTTAGTAAAATTGAAAAATAAGACTATTGTTGAAGTAATAAAACATTTGAAAAGTATTTTTTCTACTCACGGTTATCCTCTTGAAAGGGTAAGTGATAATAATCCATTTAACAGTTACCTACGCATTCAGAACTTTTGTTTAATAGATTGATAAGAACTTCCTTACCAACACATAGTTGC